GACGTGCAATTTAACATTTATGTAGAGTTCGATAATATAACATATCATAACATAACATAACATTACATGTCGAAGTCCGACATACATTAGCATATCTAAAGACACTAGGTGCCTTAGTCTGACGTTACATCACGAGACCTAAAGACATGACATGCCGAAGTCTGACATTACACGACGAAACATAAACACATCGATAAGTTCGAAACAAATTACAAGCAAACCCACATGCCAACATAGAACATAAGAACTACACCACGTAGCCAGACGTGGCACGACGACGCCTAGGACGTGGTCGAGTGGAGGTAATGCCTTTACCCGTAGGGCGAGCTCTATCTGCTGCTGATCCTGATAGTCCTGCCTCCGCCGCACTTGGTTTCTCCTTGTCTTTAGGATAATGCTTGTAGGTGTGCCCACGTTCATCGCATTTGCTGCAACGCTTCACCCTGCCAGCCTCCGACTCGTCCATATCATTGCGGATGCGACGAGTCCTCCTCCTTCCAGCCTTGCCTTGGAGCTTCGATGGGTCAGGAATATTGAGTACTTCATCGTTAGTCTCTGTGAACTCCCTAGCTATGCCGAACCCATAAATCTCGCCGCTCCATGTATGATATATTGCTTGCTTACTGAAGTACTGTGACACATATACTGCATCTGGTATGCCACACTCCGCTGCGGCAGCAATGACATGGGTGCATGGCCTGTGGAGCAGCTTCGGCTTTGAACAAGAGCAATGACATGTGCCGTCGGCTTTGAGAACACACTCCTGCTTCACTCTCTTGCGGTAGATACCCCTGCCTGCCTTATCTTGACATAGTATCTCAAACCTATGTTGTTGGGTACCTTGCACTAGAGCTCGATGTTTTATGGCCTTTTTACGCAACTCCTCTAGCTTTTTCTGCATGAAAGTTCCAAACAAAATGTTGTTGTTCGGCATAGAGGGAAGAACTGCCTGGAACCGATCCCTAAAATACCTGCATGTCCCATGTAAAATGAACTCCACTATGCCAACTAGTGGCTGTCCACGGACACCGCGCATCACCCAGTTGTAAACTTCTGCCAAATTTGTTGTCATTATTCCATATCTAGCACCACCTGTGTCATACGCCTTGGCCCATTTCTCTTTTGGTTCATGCAGAATCCACTGAGAAAATTTCCGAATCTCCAATCCAGTTCTTCTAACCAAAATTGGACTATCCGTTGGGAGAGGCCCAAGAGCTTGAGGAGGGTCAGCAATGGCGGTCGATGGAGCCGCTGCACGCCGATCACTGCATTTGGCTGTCAACTCATCTAATCTCTTCCAAAGCTCATTGAATTTTTTCTCCTGGTTCTGATTGCACAGCCTCTTGAACATGTTCATGAGCTCCTTGTTCTTGAATTGCTTGAAGAAATTAGCTCCCATATGACGCATGCACCACCTACTCTGTACATCGTCCCAAACACCAGGGTATCCTCGTTCCATGCTCCCAAACTGCAACTCTTCTATCGCTCACAGAATGCCAGCGTGCCTATCATGTATCAGGCACACATTTGGCCTCATACCAACAACTTTTGTTTTAACCAATTTCAGGAAACAGTACCAGCTGTCGGTATTCTCACTCTCAACAAAAGCAAATGCCAAGGGCAATACCTGATTGTTCCCATCTACCCCTATTGCTGTCAATATCTAGCCCCGATACTTTCCTGTCAAGAATGTCCCATCAATGCAGAGAACAGGACGACAGTTCACGAATGCCATCTTGCATGCATGTAGAGCTAAGAACACCCTTTGCAGCACACTCTTGCCAGGATGTTCAATTGATGGGAATTTTTTCACTTCGTAAGAGCTCCCAGGGTTTCTTTCCTCGATAACACCAAGCAGGCGTGGCAAATTGTCATACGAGGCTTCGTAAGTTCCAAATCTCATCTCTATTATTTTCTGTTTGGCCCTCCAGGCCTTGGCATAGCTAATAGTATACTTGTATGTCTCCTCGATGTGTCGGATTATTGACCTTGGTTCATATGTGAGATTATCGATGACATGCGCATACATCTCAGATGCAACAAATGCACATGTAATGTTCCTGTGGTATTTCTGAACACCAGGTAGAAAACATGTATGCTTGGTAACGACTGACACTGTCCAATAATCCTTCCATTTCCCCTTATACGCGTGCACTCTCCAGGGACAACCATCTTTTTCCTTAACACACCGAACTTCATATTGCGACCGGTTGGACTTGGCAACCCAAAACTCTCTATGAAGTGACACTGCAAAATGTTTTACCGCCTCCTTCATATCTTCTGCTCTACTATAAATCGCTTCCTGAATAACCTCATTTTCTTTGTACTCCCATCTCACACTATCCTCTTCAGAGACAATCAACCTAGAAAAATCCTGACTAGCCCATTCTGCTGGATTAATATCCGTTTCCTCATCTGATGAATCACCTTCCTCTACACGCTCGTTGTCAGAATCCTCCCTCTCCATTTCATCCACAATGGCTGCGACAGTCTCCCCCTCGTTGGCCACTCCACCTGGTTGAATGCCCACTGGAGCTACTACGCCCCCGTCCTCTCCTGCGTTGACCTCCTCCACAGAAGTCTCATTTACTTAGCACTTGGTCTCTCGCCATCATCCATGTTCATCTGCACACCTGGATCCTTCGGGTGCACAAACGGAACCAAAGCTAGAGGCCACCCGCGTTGCATTGTATTTTCCACATACCATCTCCACAGTTGAGAGTTTTGAACTGGCATTAGTTCCCAATAAAAACCCTCAGTTGCCCGACTTACTATAACATTGATTATTATGTCACTTGTCTGTGGATCAACTCTCAAGCCCCTCATTAACCATTCTTTTATAGAAGGTACACCCCTCTCAGCCGGTCTATCAATTCCCCTTTCTGATACAATAAAATCTGACAGATCTACCCCAGTTGGCCCGTAACGGACGTTTCCTGGTCCATGGTAAACTTGGAATATTTATTTGTTCGACATATCTGTCAACGAATTAACTAGATCATATTACTCTTTCATGCAATAAACATCTACAACGTAATATCTTCTTGTGTAAGCCAATGCAACGGTAAAGTATTGATTCCAAACTAGCAGATCTACGTAGTTACCGATATCTACAATACGCACTTCTAGATTAGTACAACTAAAACCCTAAAAATATAATGCATTTATTCAAACAAATTTTTTAAAAATACACACTATTTAACTCAATAGTCACATATAGGATCTATGAATATTACCTTAAATCGGCGTCTGAATCCGGCAGGGCTTCGCCCCTTCTTCTCTTCTCCTCCCCTCTCTTCTTTTTTTTTTCATTGGATTTGAGAGGGGTGAGGAATGAGGGTTGGGGGCTGGACGGCAGGCCTTTTATAGGCAGCGAGGCCTGCCGCCCGGCCAGAGGGCGGCAAGGGGCCGCCTGCAAAATAGCCGGCCCCCTGCGGCTCTTTTGCATTCGGACCCCTTGCCGCCCCACCAGAGGGCGGCAAGGGTTTTCATGCAAAAAAAACCACCCTCCGTCACCGCCTGTTCCTCCCCCGTTTGCCACGTCAGCTTGCCGCCCACCATTGGAGCGGCAGGGTCTATTTTTGCAATTTTTCTCGCCGATAGATTATTTCTGTAAATATTAAAAAAAATCTAAAAACAAAAAAAATTCGATGCTTTTGTCCTTTCCAGAAGGAAAAAGTACACCGAAGGTCCCTCAACTTGTCATCGGGACATAAAAACGTCCTCAAACCGTAAAACCAGTTATGCAGGGTCCCTTAACTATACAAAACCGGTCACCCGAAGTCCTTTGGTGGTTTTGATCCCGGTTTTGGTCTACGTGGCGGCTGAGTCAGCGTGGGACCCACGTGAACCCCACATGTCAGCACGCCACGTCATCACCATCTCTCTCTTTCCCTTCGTCCCCTCTCTCTCTCTGGCGGCAGGCGGGCGCACGCGCGGGGGCCGATGGATGGGGAGCGGCGGCTAGTAAGTGGCGGTGGCGGAGGCGCTGGAGGTGGCGGCGTGATGGCGGTGGGCATGGTGGTCGTCGGCGTCGGCGTGCCCCGCTTCTCCCAGTGGTCGTCGGCGTCGGCGTGCCCCGCTTCTCCCAGTGGTCGTCGGCGTCGCCATGGTGGTCGTTGTTGTCGCCATAGTGGTGGTCTCAGTGGCGACAGATGTGGTGGCCAGCGTGCGGCGTGCAGGCGGGCGGGGCCAGGAGATGGTGGCCAGCGTGCGGCGTGCCCGACGACAGCGGCGAAGGAGGCTCAACAGTCGGCGGAGGCGCGCCGCCTACAAGCCGAGCGTTGACTCACATAAAGGAGAACCACAAATTTCAGCTAAACAGGAGGAAAGGTCAAAGGGAAGAGAATCCAGCAAATGGCCTTGCACACCTTGTCATTGAAATTAAGAACAAACATGAGCTGAAGTATGATGTTCTCTTCTAATAGCTCCTCCTTTTATTGAGTTTATGCCTGTCAATTTTCAACCAAATTCATCTTCGTCACAAAAAATTTTGTGTCAAAAATTTCAGGTGTGTTTATGTGAGGCATGCGATTACCGTATACTGGGGTGGTGTAAGGCCTGGTGCTGATGGAATGGAGCACTACGAATCGAAGATGCAGCACCCGGTTTCATCAACCGGAGTTCAGAAGAACGAGCCATGTGATGCTCTGAACAGCATAACCACCAATGGCCTTGGCCTTGTGAACCCTGACAGAGTGTTCAGCTTCTACGACGAGCTACACGCCTACCTTGCATCAGCTGGGATCGATGGAGTGAAAGTAGATGTTCAGAACATTCTTGAGACACTGGGTGCTGGCCATGGAATGGTGGTTTTGGTTGTTTACATGCTTCTGCTGATGATGATGCAGTTCTAAGAGGAGTGCAGTTGTGAGAGCTTCTAATGATTTCTGACCCAGAGAACATGCCTCACATACTATACATATTGCATCTGTTGCATATAATACTGTATTTCTTGGAGAATTTATGCAGCCAGACTGGGACATGTTCCATTTGAGAATCATCACTACATTCCTTTGCTACCATGGATTATGTGATGTCTAAGCTGATAATCTGAATTTCTTTTGGTTGACAGAGCGTTCATCCGATGGCTGAATACCATGCTGCAGCAAGAGCAGTCAGCGGCTGTGCCATATATGTCAGGTATAACCAGAATGTGTATTCTTCAACATACATAAATAAAATTCTCTGCTTTGTAGTGCAGTGAGTTCTTGATGCTAAGTTAGATGTTCATGTGTGCATATATATGTGTGATGTTGCAGTGACAAGCCTGGGAACCATGACTTCAATCTGCTGAAGAAGCTGGTTCTTCCTGACGGATCGATCCTGAGAGCCAAACTCCCTGAGAATGCCATGACGATCCAGTGCGAGTCAATGTCGTCGTCGGTGCGGTCGTCTTCGTGGGTGAAAGACGTCGGTACGGCGTGGACGACCATGACGTTGCTAAGCAGCTGCAGCGCGCCGCGCAGTCCTCAATGACGTACGGCCGCTGCCGCTGCTCACCTGCTCCTGCGGCCGCGGGTAGTTCGAGTCACACGACGGCGCCGTTTCCGATTGCACGCGCGTACGCTTGGCTGCAGGCGAAGTCGTAGGTGTCGTCGGCTTCTCCTTCTCCCCGCCGGTCACCGCCTGTCGACGACGTCCCGGCACCACTCCACATCCGCCGGCCGCCGCGCTGAAGCAGCAACGGGGTTCCCGATCTTCGATGAGAGGTGGATAAACTTTGATTTGATGCTGCGCCTTAGCAACCGGTACACCGACTCCACGTTGTTGCTGTTCTTGTCGTGCCAAGAACAACCTTGAACCTACAAGCAATCGAAGAACAAGCAAGAACAAGTTGACAAGGAAACAGATCACGGCACTTGTCATATGATGAAACTGAAACAAACCAAAATGGGGTTCTGAATACAAGTATCCAGGTGGTCTAGCCGATACACGCGAGTACAATGAAGTAGCTGCAGCTAAACTTACATCCAAACAAAAACCCAAACTGCAAAATGGGGGCTGCTAGGAGTTTATATAGGTGGAGAAATGACCAGGAGAGGAGGTGGGAGCAAACCCTAGGTTTTATGGACCCCTAATGGGCTGTAAAGATACAAAGGCACAAGCCCAAGTTTCAGATGCGAAAACTATTTTGGTCATTCTGAGCAGCTCGGTTCGAATCTGAAGGTGAGGTTGGGCATATCTGAAAGTAGACAACAAGATCTTTCCAACGAGTACTCATATGGTTGAAATGGAGCTCATATGCAAATTTGGCGCCCGTTTGAAGCCAACTCTATTGCAGGTGGCCGAATTGGATTTCCGAAGTTGTGTGGGATCTTGATGACTTCCATTTGATGTATGATGTGAGCAATGGTTCTATCTGTAGTAGGCATGGTCACATCATCCTCTCCTTTTTCACAGAAAACCGTCCTCAGTTTTGCCATATGGTGCTCTTCACGTAGTGCATGATCTTGCCCATAGAAGAGTGTACATGAAAACAAATGCAACAAATTCTTGTCATGTAATATCAATAGTTCTTTAGCAAATAGAATTATTCTCCAGTGAGACGGATATACCTGGTTGTGAAGTAACACAACAAAGGATGTTGATACCATGTTTTCTTGCTGCTCATATCGTTTCCTTTCTTTGTAGGCCAAGTTCTCACATGGTATAGTTGTAGTAGTGGATGGAAACAATATTGAGCGATTCGGTCGCTCCCCTTCTTCATAGCCAACCTGCTTCTTTGAATCAAAACAACACATGCTGGACATAACGTGATTGGTCAAATTACAACCCTGTACCTTCCCATTTTCTTTCACAACTACAGGAGGTTCTATATCTAAACATATGAAAACTATATGCACAAAATATATTTCTCTATCATTATATGTGCCGAAAATGAGAAAACTCGCATTAGCTGGACGTGGCAAATTATCTTTGGCAAATAATTTATCCTTTAAATCACTGAGCTCACAAGGATCATTAAACTTAATATAGCCTAAAGTATTTAAAGAAGACATCAATTTAAGTTCCTCATTCTCACTAGCAAGGTGAACAACATGTTTAAAATCAGTACATGAAAAATCAACAACTGAATTAGCATGGTCATTTACAAGTTGTGGCATGTATATAAGTGAAGCGTTATCACACAACTCATCTTTATCAGAATTGCCAACAAGCAAATTAACTTGTGAGAAAGGAAATTCAGGACTTGATTCCACTAATTGTTGCTCAATGGTAGCATGAAGAGTAGACCGTTGAGAACAACCACCTCGATTTATTTCAGCACCATTTAATTTACCTTTCAAACACTCTTTAGATAAAGTAGGTGCATCAATCTTCTCTTTCTTCTTGAGCGATGGGTCTCGGATCTCATTCATGTCATTTTCCTCTGTTTGCTGAATGCCTTTAACTCCCTGCAAAATGTTAGTAACAGGAGGCACAAGCGTAGCATGTTGCTTCCTCTTGTCCTCCAAAATTTCAGTCTCAACATTGCAAGCAAGCATGAACAAGTGGGCTATATGATTATATGTCACATTAGCAAGCCTAAATTGAATATCTGAATTAAGCCCTTTCAAGAATCTACTCATTGTTTGTCCATTGTATTCGTTTAAACCACTGTATATGATACAAATTTTAATTCATCAAAGTACTCCCGCACAGTTTTATCACCTTGTTTCAAATGTTCTAATTTCTCAATGAGAGCCCTTCTATGACAAGAAAACACAAATCTCTTCCTCATCAATAACTTGCATTCCTCCTAAGTTTCAGGTTTGTTTCCAACATGATTCCACCAAAAAGAAGCAGAAGCGGTAAACTTATTACTAGCAGCCTTAATCATTTCAGCACTAGAAAAACCATGTTTGTCAAATTGTTTGTCTATTGCTAGCTCCCAATCAACATAAGCGGCTGAACCAAGCATACCATCAAAGAATGGCAAAATAGATTCTACTCTTGCAAGATTATAATCAGGTACCTTATATGCATCGTGTAGAGCACTCATCATGTCTTTTCGCAGGAGGAAATATTGATGTTCAGCATGATTAACTCCAATTCCTTTTCGTAGCCCTGCCATGGTTACTAACCAACAAGAAACATACCCAACAAAATATGGCCTATCAAATAATGGACTAGGTGATGTCCAACTCCATCTCAAATTCTCCAACCTTTGCAACCATGTTCTTACATGTTCTTACCACACTATGCAAGTGGTGTTTGGCAAAACAGCAGGAACAACAACAATAGCTAGTCGTGTCAATGCTAGCAACAAGCACAACCCTGTGATGTAGTAGATAAAAACTTGTGGAGCTATAGGTGGCTGCAAATAATATCAAGGAACAGCTAGAACAACATTAATCAAATCAAGTTGAATAATCGTTCAACGATGGTATTATGCTGGTCCTAGGTAAAACCCTGTTAGAGACGCGAACCTACTCACAAGCGTAGCCACTCAAAATTGCACCAAAAGAACACAAGGACAAAAATAGCAACAACTTCTTCTCTATTTTTTTTCTTTTCTTCTCCTTGTTTTTTTCACTTCTGATTTTTTTCCCTTTTTCTTCTTCCTTCTTTTTTTTTTGTAAACTAGTTTAAAGCTGAAAATTTTTCCCAATGAATTTCGAAATTACTCAAAACAGCAGGATCAACTTCTCTTTTCATTCAGCCAACATGTCAACACAAAGGAGGAAATGTTGGGCTGGTTGGAGTTACTTGGTTCAGCCAACAAGTCAAAAGTGAGAGCACTTAAATGCTTTCTTGGGAAGGACTGATTCACTTCACAAAGTTGCAAAATGGTTGGCTATTGGTGGGGGCAGCAATAAATGCATTTGGGGGTGGCTGATGTGGTGATGAGGGTGCCGCTGGTTGTGGTGGACGAAATTTGGTGGGGTTGAAGGTGGATTTCGTGGTAAATATGGTGGTGATGGTGGCAGCGGGATGAAGATAAATGAAGTGATGGTGGAAGTGTTTGTGGTGACGAAATCATGAGTAGAACCCGAAACACTAAAGGACTAAACTACTAGAACCAGCAACTTAACCAATCGATGCAACCGAAAACTCAGCAAGCAAAGACGAAGTAGAACAGCAAAGGCTCAACTTGTTTTGGTGGTTTTTCGGATTTGACCTATTTTTGTGGTTTTTATGGGCTGTAGGTAAAAACAAAGGAGTGATAAAATCTCTCACCGAGCAACTTGAGCTCTGATACCACTTGATGCAGCAACGGGGGTTCCCGATCTTTCGATGAGAGGTGGATAAACTTCGATTTGGGGGAGGACACGACGTTAGCGGTCCGACTACAACTACCACAGGGGTGCTGCGCCTTAGCAACCGGTACACCGACTCCACGTTGTTGCTGTTCTTGCCGTGACAAGAACAACCTTGAACCTACAAGCAATCGAAGAACAAGCAAGAACAAATTGACAAGGAAACAGCTCACGGCACTTGTCAGATGATGAAACTGAAACAAACCAAAATGGAGTTCTGAATACAAGTATCTAGGTGGTCTAGCCGACACACGTGAGTACATGGAAGTAGCTGCAGCTAAACTTACATCTAAACAAAAACCCAAACTGCAAAATGGGGGTTGCTAGGAGTTTATATAGGTGGAGGAATGACCAGGAGAGGAGGTGGGAGCAAACCCTAGGTTTTGTGGACCCCTAATGGGCTGTAAAGATACAAACGCCCAAGCCCGAGTTTCAGATGCGAAAACTATTTTGGTCATTCTGAGCAGCTCGGTTCGGATCTTAAGGTGAGGCTGGACATATCTGAAAGTAGACAACAAGATCTTTCCAACGAGTACTCATATGATTGAAATGGAGCTCATATGCAAATTTGGCGCCCGTTTGAAGCCAGCTCTATTGCAGGTGGCCGAATTGGATTTCCGAAGTTGTGTGGGATCTTGATGACTTCCATTTGATGTATGATGTGAGCAATGGTTCTATCTGTAGTAGGCATGGTCACATCACGCGCGCTCGCCCGCTTGCTGCCACCGCTGCTCTGTGCCTCCGCTCCACTCCGCTTCGCCGGCCGCCGCGCGCTCGCACGCCGCCTCCGCCGGCGCCGCTTAGCCCCGCTTGCCGCCCGGTCATCTGCTCCCTACCCGTCGGTCGGCCTGTGAGAGAAGAGAGAGTGAGAGAGAGGGGAGGAAGAGAGAGAAGAGGGGAAAGGGCACTTGACGTGGCACGCTGACATATGGGGCCCACGTGGGTCCCACGCTGACTCAGCCGCCACATTGGCCAAAATCGGGGTCAAAACCATCGAAGTACCTCGGGTGAGCGGTTTTGTATAGTTAAGGGACCCCGCATATCTGGTTTTACGGTTCGAGGACGTTTTTGTATCCCGATGACAAGTTGAGGGACCTTCGGTGTACTTTTTCCTTTCCAGAACATAATCAATTCTCCAGAAATCTGATAGTCAATGCAGCAGATGTCTAACAAAAAATCCTACTACATTAAAATTTCAGGAGGCCAGGGGCTGACTGCCAAATGTCAAGGACTGCTACCACTCATGGCATTTGAACTAAATAATCCCATGTTCTTTACATGTGTTTAAATGAAGAAACAAAACTCATAGCATATATTGTTATAAAACTCAAAACTGAGATACCATAGCTTGTTTTAAATTGATGCAAAACTATACAACGCTAGTATTTTCAAGGTTCAAAACTAGTTTGAAAACTAAGTGAATAGATATATTTGATATATGAATTAGATACCAAAGCTTTTTCTGTCATAGCATTAGATAAATATGTATCTTGCAAGTATTATTTGATATAAGACTGTTTCTGACAAAAACATAGACGCTAGAATTGAGAGATTTCTATGGCAAGCAAACAACAGTATTAAGAACGATTTCAAGTGGTTAGGCTATGACATAAATAAGCGATAAACTGATTAATATTACCAAAATTATAAAAATCTAACAAAGACAAAAAAAAAAAAACACTCCATTTCTGAAACTATGCTCATTTCTGACAAAGTAAATTTTTTGGATAAAAACAAACACAAAATCAAAAATACAAAAAGAAACAATACTTTTTCAGACAAAAGTAACATGACAAAAATAAGTAGTATTCACAAAGCTGACATGACATAACTTTTTCAGACAAAACTAACAAAAATAAGTAATATTCACTAAAATTATGAGGTGATGCAGTCTTATTGCTGATAAAATACAAATGTTAGCAACTGACAAAACATATGACTCGTCAGTAGTAATTTGCTTCAGTGTTGTAATCTTCATATGCAGATTACATATCTTTAGATGTTCAGATTACAAGATTATATTTCTTTGACCTAAATAATATGATTTCTTAGTTTCTACCACAAAGATGTAGAAAAAAAACTGACACGATTAGCCCACCTCGTAAAGGAGAGAGGCCTTGACCACCTCGCCCATCAACATGATTAGCGTCGGGACTGCATCGCCACCTGCGACAAAGGAATTCATATATGCCTCGCTGAAGACCATCAGGGTCATTGTGACTGCCTCCTCGATAGCCCTGGGAACGTGCTTGCTTGCTTACTGAGATCCAGGAGAGATATCACGGCTGCCTCGCCCACCGGTGCGAGAAAAACCATGGAAGCATCCCCCACCTCCTCGACGGCGTAATGGCAGCCTCTGGTGCCCTCATCTACAGTGTCACGGCTATCCCTCTGTCGAACCCTGCCTCACCGTGGCCTTCGGCGCCTAATCATTGAGCAATCCAACTTAGATACAGAGTTAATAAGCTCTCCTTATGAACCAACTACTGCAAATTCTGAATTCCATTGACAAAATATATCAGAGGTCAAGTGCAATTTCATTTATTAATGAAATTCTCCCCATTATATTTAAAAAAAGAGAAAGTATATTGTATGTCAACACGTCTGAAGAATAGAGAATGGAAAACCAGCTACATGATATCACAAAATTATAGAAAGAACCAAGAGCCAGCATTTTGTTGTTCGATAACAAAATGTTAGTTTTTAACTCCAGAAATCTATTGCCTGGTTGCTTGGAAAATAAAATGTCCTGTGATAAAATAAAGGTGACCTTCCATCATCCAAGGTGCTTTACTATAATTAACTAAGCGATATAGTTCCTAACAAAGATATCAAATAATCAAAACCAACTTGCACATGCTGGGACTGTAAATTCATACCATCTAAAACAGAGTCTTGGCTGATTTGCTTGTGGCCGAGAGGAAAAAAGAACTGAAGCAGCCAAGAAGAGGCACCATCCCCTTTCCCTCCTACTCCTTGCCTCTGGCTCTACCTCCCTAACTCCATTCTTGGTGAAGCAGATTGGAGAAAAAGACACAAATAAGTAATCTACATAGCTCTGATAAAAATACCCAATTGTCATACTCAATCTACATAGCTCTGATAAAAATACCCAACAACAAATCATCCCCAATGAAACTAGCCTACATGATCAAATATGCAAAAGGGCGGCATATTCAGAAAATTTTTTTTGCAGGAGATGGGGCATACATAGCAGTTACTCCACTAGTTAAGGCTTAAGAGTAAAAAAAGAAAATCTGACCTTGACCACTCCAGTGCCATTATCACATACAAGACGCAAGACGCTGGATGTCCTCACCGTCAGTCATTTCATATAGAAGCTGCAACGGTAGCAGAAAAAGGAATAGTTAATACTTCTAAAAAGCAGTAGTAGTAATCTTTTTTTTTTATAACTTGATGATGTGTGAAAGCATTTCTTTAATTAAATCATTGAGGCATTCTTAAGCTCTAGTTTGCAAGCTTGATTGTACTGTATGGCAAAACACATGTACATTCTGCTACTTCATAACCAATCAGGGACAGATAGTTGGACATGGATTATTGGGGTACAAACAAACAAATCGTTATTAGTACGTATCAAGGTTAAGGCGGTAAATTAAGAGGAAAAAAGGTTGCAGATCCACAGATCTAGAAGAGAAGTTATTAGGGTTAACGCAAGCAAAAAATTGGAGAAGAAAGTGTGAGGGTAGAGAGAGATGAGGAAGAGGATTGGATTGAATGGATGCTCACCACCGAGGATGCGGAGAGAGAGAGAGATGAGAAAGAGGATTGGATTGAATGGATGCTCACCACCGAGGATGCGGAGAGAGAGATGAGAAAGAGGATTGGATTGAATGGATGCTCACCACCGAGGATGCGGAGAGAGAGATGAGAAAGAGGATTGGATTGAATGGTGAGCAGATTCGGCGGAAGTTGACTCTGCTCTGCTCACGGAATGGAGATCGGCGCAGGCGGCGGGCGGAGCTAAGTCGCAGGGAGACGAAGAGGCTTCGAGTGGAGTCGACACGAGAATTTAGAGTATTTACCATCAATTGGAAGATCAGATGCACGATTGCAGATGGATGGTGGGCTGCTCGGCGGCAGGTGGGGTGGCAGCGCTCGGCGGCAGCCAGCAGGGTGGTGGCGCCCGGCGTTGGCAGTGCTCGGCTGTGGCGCGGCATCGCTCTCCATCGCGACAGGGAAGGGGCAAGCGACAGGAGATGATCGATCCGATCCAAAGATCTGACAGGTGGGTCCAGGGTAAAAATGTCCATTTATATGTGAAAAATAATATAAATGGATGAAAATAGTGAAAGTGGTATCAAATCTAACAATTAGCAGCTTTAGTGATATATTATAAATAGCATACGGATTGAGTGGTAAAAAAGTTGAGGCAAGCGAATTTGATGGTAAATAGTCCAAATTCTCATGGGAGACTGGCAGACAGATTGTCTAGACGGGACCGATAACAAGCACGAATTTTGATAAAAGCAAAAAAAAAACAGCATGCAACTGTATAGTAAATCCCTTAATTATTTTCTTTACATTTTTCTAGAATTTAAATACTAAGGCCCACTGTCAGTGACTGGCATATATGCGAAAAGGTCCTTCAGGATTGGGGTCCTAGCACGTGTTAAATCAAAATTCATTAAGAGTGATCAAGTTTTAATCTATTTGCATGCAAGTTCTTGGGTCCACATGTCATACTATGCAATTTTACAATTTCAACCTTACATGTTTTACTTTTGACTTATAAACTTTGGGTGTATAAACTTTAGATGTATAGAATACTATATATAGAAAATATTTGAATTCAAATTCAAATTTGAATCAATATTTGAATTCAAATTCAAATTTGAATCGGGTATGTAAACTTTTGACTTATAAACTTTGGATCTATAAACCTTAGATGTATAAACTTTATATGTATAGAAATACTATATATAGAAAATATTTGAATTCAAATTCAAATTTGGAACGGGTATATAAACCTTTGAAGTATAAACTTTATGGTCTATAAACTTTAGGTGTATAAACTTTAGATGTATAGAAATACTATATATAAAAAAGTATTTGAATTCAAATTTAAATTTGAATCGGATATATAAACTTTTGGTCTCAACTTTAGATGTGTAAACTTGAGATGTATAAACTTTATGTGTATAAATTTACTAAAATAGGAAAGTAATGCGGTGAAAAAAAAAAGAAACCAGATGGAGGGAGGGAGTGGGGAGGGGATCGATCACTACCCCGTCTCCAAGCGATCGATAGCCCATGGATCCCCCTCGATCTCTCCCTCTCTCGGCTGCACTGAGTGGAAATAGAGGAGATAAAGGAAACAGAGATGAGTGAGCTCGAGTGGCTGCATTGTGGGTCCTAGGCGTGGCAAACAACAGTAGAGTGAGAGGGGTGGGTAGAAAATTAGGTGTAAATAGTCTTTGGTAATTTTAAGAATTAATTGTACACCTCTTTTTTTTAATTCAATAGTTTAATTTGTGGAACAGATAAATTAGGGTGGATTTTTGGTGATAAATGAAGTAATATAGTTTCCTTTTTCCAGGTTTCAGAAAAAAATCAATATAGTTTATTCTCAGTAAAATAAATAAAAATGGCTTGATTGAATCTAGCTTGAATTTTTAGGAGGTTAAAACCAGTGATATAAATTCCGGAAAATTATATTCTTAATGACAAATAAACTAGTATTTAAATAAATTATGTTACATATACATGTATATACAATTTGATGAGGTATAATGTTTGCAATTCACGGTTTAGATTAAATTTGAATTTTGACTGCTTTGCCCAAATTAACAGAGGTATTAATTATAAGGATAAAATTATGTCAAATTTTCTAGTGAGTTTGAATTATGGATTAGTATTTGCATGTATTTTTTTCATGATTTTATTTTGCACGAATAATTGTTTTATGATATATTTATAGGGACGCGCTAAACCCCACCGAGGGTGCGCTATAACTAAAACGCTCCCCTGAGATCACACCTCCCTCCCCCCCCACCAACCCACCCCACCACCCCCACCCTCTACCCCTCCCCCATCCCCCGCCCCCACCCCACCCCCATCCATCCCGCGCAAACTCCTCCATCCCTCTCTCTCCAATAAATTCTTTCGTTAAGTAAATGAGTTACTATAAGTTAATTTGGTTCAATAAGTAAACAAGTTACTATCAAAAGATGCCCGCCCGCACTTTTTTTCCTTCCTCCCCCTCCTTTTTTGTTTTCTTTCCTCCCGCACTTTTTTCGTCATTGGCCCATTAATAACAAGATTACTGTGTCTTTTGGTGTAAGAGTAAACGAGTTACTAACACTTCAGCACTTTCAAATTGATTTTTTTCATTCCTCCCGCACTTCTTCCATGATTGGCCCATTAGTAATAAGATTACTGTGTCTTTCGGCCTAAGAGTAAACGAGTTACTAACACTTCCACACTTCCAAATTGATTTTTTTTTCTTTTCTCCCGCACTTCTTTCGTGATTGGCCCATTGGTAACAAGATTACTGTATCTTTTGGCCTAAGAGTAAACGAGCTACTAACACTTTCACACTTCCAAATTGATTTATTATCTCAGTAAATGAATTACTCCTAGGTTATTTTCAACCAATTTGATTCCTCCTTTCAGTAAATAAATTACTCTCAAGTCGTTCAGCTCTTCTCTTAGTAAATAAATTACTTAGGGTACTAGTACTCCCAATTGGTTTGCAAATCTTCTCTTAGTAAATAAATTAATATTTACACGCCGTTTGACTTCTCTTAGTAAAATAAGTTACTCCTGATACAGGAGTAAATATATTGCATATTGCACAAGGCCGCTGGAGTATTTAGTGACAAAACAAATGAAGGTAAAAAATTATGCTTCATATTATTAACCTAACCATAATTTAATAATTTCTTTACAAACATGAATTGTTTGATCCAGTGTCAGTGTTACATCAACAATCTGATAATGCACGCAATGATACATCGGTAGAAAAACACAAAACTAATAAAGAAAATCACATCAACACCACCCGCTAACGCATATGCCGACACCGATCGATGCCAGCACTAATATAGCAATGTAGATCAGGGCCGACGATGCTGATTATTAACTACAAAAGGCAATAAATCCTGAGTTCAGCTCACAAATATAGTAAATTTCTGATTTCATCTCCAACCCCACTAGCCAGCTGAAGCCTCATCCCATCTTGCTGCCTTGCCATGGCAGGCAAAATCACACCAAGAGAAAGCTCCACCCAATTAACTGTACAAAAACAAGAGCAGTATCAAAAAAAATTCGATGGATCGACAGATTCTACACAATTTTAGAACAAAATCAAGACCCTAATCAACATGACCATATGCAGTGAGCACTTCAGATAAATGAATCCATATGCTCTGTTGAACCACAAAATTGCAGAGAATTCAATGGATTGACTGGTTGTACGCATTTTTACAAGAAAATCAAGAACCTAATCAACGGGACCATATGCATTGAATAGTTGACATGCATTTAGATGGATACCGCTGTAGCATTTCACCCAGTAGTATTTCAAGGGTATCGTATTTATAGGGGTAGTGTGACACACAACAAATTCATCTCTAATAAAGATACACTAGGCAGTGGAGAAGGACTGAAGAAAGCTAAGCCTCATATGTACTTTTATATTAATAATGTTTAGTTTACACTTAACTCATACTTCATTTGTTTCATATTATAAGACTTTCTAGCATTGCTCATATTTATATAGATGTTAATTAATCTAGACACATATATATGTCTAGGTTCATTAACTTATATATGAATGTGGGTAAAGCTAAAAAGTCTTATAATATGAAACAAAGGAAGTACATGCTTACAAGACTAGGACTTAGTTCTAGGTACCCAGATACTACTAAGATACCTATCCCTATTAGTCTGCCAGCGTGGTGATGGCATTTTACGAACTTTTACATCACATCCAAACGTGCAGGAATATAAAGAACAAATAGGTTGTCACCACCTGTGGCATTCCTCACTTTTCCATGATACATACCCACATCCAACGAAACTTAAGTAACCTAAGCACCATGCTTATGTTAATAAAAAATATCATTAATTCCTGGGGCACCCATCCTTCAGATGGACAAGTTAGAAGTAGTGCAACCTATTAAGATTTTTTGGACCGTTACCGTAGCATAGATCGACTAGCCTAATCATGTGAAGTATAAGCTATTCATATAACATGTAAGTAGTAAAGCAGTTCATTGAACTATGAACACAGTATAATGAAAAAGATATTAGACCTATAGTCTTATAGGAAGAGTAAAGTACTAAAAACATATTGGAATCTCCGAGGAGACAATAGGACCGAAGACCACTCTAAGCCTAACTCCACTGCTAGTAGAGAGAATATACTATGTGGAAAGAGAGAATTGCTGCTTGAGGTGTGTGTTGTGAAGTGAGAAGCTCTCCTCCTTAAATAGGCTTATAATGATGGTTTAAAAGTCGGTTTTGACTGGAATCCACACATAACCGTCATTGCGAGTTGCTGAGCGAGTGACACGTGGAGGGTGGAGAGGCCGAATCCTGGGCCCCACCCCCTCAACTGCCTTTCTTCAGAAGATGACATGTGGGCCCCTATATGACGGTTTTGGATGCTTTGGCCACACTTTAGAACGATTTGATTTGACTTGAGGGCCCTCAATTCGTGTGCTCGCTTGTGATTTGTCTGAAGTATTTTTTTTTTCATGTTTGCTCATTTATCCTTCACTTTAACGTATAATCCCTACATACATAGTAATTCTCAAGACAAGTGGAATTGTATTATTTATAACTAATATAATATACATGTAAGAAAATTTAGTTCTCTCCTTATTTATCGGTACTTATCGGCCGTCAACAACACCAACAAATCTGACCTAGTTATCTTTGTCGGTCTGTAATAGGCAGCCGTCATGGCGATGACTCGTTAATGACGGCCAGGTAGTAGCATGGCTCATTTGTCTGATCAATCTTTATCGGTATCAGGTTTTTAGACCCTGTTTAGATGGGACTAAAACTTTTAAGTCCCTATCACATCGGATGTTTGAACACTAATTATAAATATTAAACGTAGACTATTAATAAAACCCATCCATAATCTTGGACTAATTCACGAGACGAATCTATTGAGCATAATTAATCCATGATTAGCCTATGTGATGCTACAGTAAACATTCTCTAATTATAGATTAATTAGGCTTAAAAAATTTGTCTCGCGAATTAGCTTTCATTTATGTAATTAGTTTTGTAAGTAGTCTATATTTAATACTCTAAATTAGTGTCTAAATAAAGGGACTAAAATTAAGTCCTTGGATCCAAACACCGCCTTAGTTAGGCCTGATAAAGATGACTGCTATCGGTGACAGCAGATGGCCTGACACAGATTGAGTTTTCACCTGACTGGCCAAGCCATTCGCTGACACATATGAGGGTTTTTCGTGCGATACAGATGACCTGTTCATAGTGGACATAGTACACGTAAACTGACACTGTATCTTTTTTTAGATTTTTTTAGAATTATCTTTTTTTAAGATAATGAACTGACACTGTATCTGTAGCCACGTACAACTCGCTCAATTATCATGTATAATTCTGTCTGTTATTATAACAAAAGAAATTGCCAAGTCTATAGCTATTTGGTTCTCATCATCTGCCATCTATAGGGCATGTTGAACAAAAAGATATGTTACAATATACAGACGGCCTCATCTCATGAACATAACCGTTGACTGAGCACACACTGACGCGTGTATTCTAAATTTCTAATCTTGGGGACGGCGCCATCCAATATCATTCATAATTCCTAACAGGTGTATCCATCAAAATGGAAAACTAACCAATGGACCTCACACCTGCTGGCGGTGAGCGTGACATTCCTGACGACTTGTTCATGTGCTCTGAGCTCTACATTGCAGCGTTCGAGGGGCACACCGATCAGGTCATCGGACTTTTAGAAGGAAGCCGCGCCTCCGCGGCAGTCGCCGGGAACGGCTGGTCGTCGCCGGCGGCACAACCAACAGGTAATCTCAAGGCCCTTTTCTCTCAGCTTGGTAGCTGCCGTTTCCTGCTCATCTTGCACGAAATGGGATTCGGAGAAATCACATGTTCTCTTGAAAGCGAGTTTTTAGGAGCAAAATTAATCATCGATTGAGCTGAAATTTTGATTTCAAATCGACGCGTTTTTCCAGCTAAACACCATGGAAACTGTAACATTCACGAGGTGACCGCCGAGCGCTGGACGCTGCTCCACATCGCGGCGGCGCAGGGGCACGACGACCTGATCGACGAGCTATGCCGCCGGGACAGCGGCCTCCTCTCCGCGGCGAGCTCGTCGGGGGACACGCCGCTGCACTGCGCGGCGAGGGCGGGGCACGCCGGCGCGGTCCGGGCCATCGACCGGCTGGCACGCGCGAACGTGGAGGAGGACAGGCTGCGGGAGGCCCTTCGCGGGAGGAACGAGGCCGGCGACACGGCGCTGCACCTCGCCGCGAGGCACGGCCACGGCGAGGCCGCGGAGGCGGTGGTGGAGGCGGCGCCGGAGACGGCGGCCGATCTGAACGGCGCCGGCGTGTCGCCGCTCTACCTGGCGGTGATGAGCGGGTCGGTGCGCGCCGTCACGGCGATCCTCTGGTGCAGGGACGCGTCAGCCACTGGACCGAAATCACAGAACGCGTTGCACGCTGCGGTTCTCCAGTGTTCAGGTCAGCTAATTACTATACTCCGTATCTTTTTCTTTTTTCTTTTTACCTGTGATATTCAGGTTAATTAAAGGGAAATGAGACATGTGCCAAGTGTTATTCACGATTATATTAATTGTGAGTTGGGCTCCATACATCTAACGATTATTAAACCAGCTGGGGATTCTTATTAATTTGGTCAAAATTCGAGGGATGGAACATCATAACAAGTTCAACATGTACACATTGATGAAAGAACAACAATCATATTTATATGTACACATGAGGGAAGTTGACCAATTTAGATGTGACATGCGGCATTGGAAATTCAAGGTATAGGCCGTGTTTACTTCCCCTCAAACTTTCAAAAATTTCGTCACATTAAATGTTTGGACATATACATGGAGCATTAAATGTGGACGAAAAACCAATTGCACAGTTTGCATGTAAATTGCGAGACGAATCTTTTTGAGCCTAATTACGCCATGATTTAACAATGTGATGCCACAGTAAACATTTGCTAATGACAGATTAATTAGGGTTAATAAATTCGTCTCACAGTGTACAAGCGGAATCTGTAATTTGTTTTGTTATTAGTCTACGTTTAATTCCTAAAATGTATATCCGTATACTTTAAAAAATATTGGCCAAAGAACTAAACACAACCATAACCATATTATGAAAGCTATGAAGATAAGTACTCGATCACACAACAAACCATGTCATGGCAAAGCGCGTCCTTTACTTAGAATAAAGGTTTTACGGTATTTGCATCAAAAAAGTAAAAATGCAACACTCCAAAAAGGGTATCACTTAAAATATATTGAAAAACTTATACAGTACTTCAGTAGTAAGAGCATAAAGAGATGGAGAAGGGTATAATTATTTTTAGTATTAGTTCTAGGTATGCATCGGTACTGGTGCTTATCTTCTCCAGTACGTTATTTACATGTTCCTTTTTGAGATTTACGTTTTCTTCTTGAGAACAAATTCACCCGGTAATCATCCGCTACGTTATTTACATGCTTTGTACAATTCTTTAATTAACAAAATTTTATATGCTTTAGGGAATGAAATAACTTATTTTTATAATGTCATGCACGCACCTAGATTTTAATATTGACCCAAAAATAACCAACTCACTGATCTACCCATGGCTGGCAAAATAGAAACAACCTAGCTCCTAATTGCACATATGTTTATTGGGCATATATGTGCATGCATGCAAACCACGGATTGCATGCCGTTTTAGAAGGCCGGCAATCTATATTTGATTGAAAAAAACGGCTTTCTATGTATTGAAATTTGCATGTCCGTGTAACCAGTGTGATGACTTTTGTTATGATTGATTTGGGATCTTTGTGCCAGGTTCATATTCATATCCAGTGTCTTTCTTGAATTAACTAACCGGCAAGGGCCCATAAATGGGTGTGAACACAGTTTATACTCTACTACATGCTAACCTGAACTCATTTCCTTACACATTTGTTCAACTATTTATCTACCATGTATTACTAGTTCTATACTATCATAATAACTGTAAAAGACTGCTATTTTGTTTGCAGAAATGGTTTCTTTGCTACTGAACTGGAAACCAGGACTGGTCATCGATCTTGACAGCAACAGGAGCAGCCCACTGCATTTTGCCTCATCTGATGGTGACTGCTCCATTATCAAAGCAATCCTAGCTCATGCACCTCCCGGAGCTGCACACATGCAGGACAACCAGGGCCTCTCACCGTTGCATGCCGCGGCGCTGATGGGCCATGCAGCTGCTGTCCGCTTGCTGATGCAGTTCTCACCGGCTTCGGCGGATGTTCGAGACAAGCATGGCATGAGCTTTCTACATGTTGCAGCTATGAAAGGCCATGCTTCCATCATCTCGCATGCTGCGAAAAACAGGATGCTTGAGCACCATCTGAATGCTCAGGACAGGGACGGAAACACGCCGCTCCATTTAGCGGTGGCTGCAGGGGAATACAATGTTGTTTCTAAGCTGTTATCAAGTGGCAAGGTGCAAACTCATATCATGAACAATGCAGGTTGCACACCATCTGACCTTGTGAAGGATTGCAAAGGTTTCTACTCAATGGTAATGTCTCTCTACATATATACATCCTTAAGCAAAATGTAACTGTTGGTAGCAATGTTCAATTAATTCAATAAGTAATTGGCACAACTAAATACCAATATGCAGGTAAGGTTAGTGGTGAAGATGTATGTCTCAGGAGTACAATTCCAACCACAAAGACAGGATCAGATAGAGAAATGGAACGGCCAAGATATAATGAAATGGCGAGAGACAACATCGAAAAATCTTGCAGTTGTTTCCACGCTTGTGGCAACAGTCGCCTTCTCCGCAGCTTTCAACGTTCCTGGATCATATGGAGATGATGGAAAAGCAATCCTAACCGGTGATCGCATGTATGATGCCTTCTTGGTTCTGGATACATTTGCTGTGGTTAGTTCAGTGACGGCAACAATACTTCTGGTCTATGGAAGAGCCTCCCAGTCTAACCGTTCATGGGTAGGCTTCATGATCTCGATGCACTTCCTATGGATGTCACTTAACAGCATGGTGCTAGGCTTCTTCACTGCTATGGCTGCAGTGACGAACAAGAAAGTGGGCACGAAGACAGCAATGTCCCAAATGATCTACTTCGGGATGTACTTCTTGGTAATGCTACTCATAAGCCTTGTAACACCAGGGTCACTTATAGGCACTTTGAAGTTTCTGATAGGGGGTTGCATGGAACGACAACGGCGTGTCAAGAGACGCATCTGCCGGCAGTATCCCTTCACCATTAGCTATGTGTTTAATGTGGTTATGTTCATAGTGCTAAGTTGTGTAGCCATTACTTCCGTTGATGTCACTAGAAACCTCCCATGATAGGTGCGATATGCTGCTAAGTGTAATTCATGCAAAACCAGTACAAAACTAACAAAGCATACGACAATCATTGAATAGCATCATGTCACTTTCAACCATAGTATATAGGTTACGCATCATATGTCAATCCAATATATGTATATCATAAGTGACACCTTATAAAGATTTGCATGCACTACACACACAAAATGCTCGATTTTCTTATATGTTTAGAAGACTTTATTTATGAGTGTGAGCAAGCTATGTTTGGAATTCTATTTGTAGACAAAATATCCACATGAGCACATTAATCCTTCGACCCGATGCCTAACAAAACAATGGGCATTTTGCTCCATTGTTTCTAGCAATAACGTGTAAAAATTAGCAAGGACACTAAACTCTCTTATTTATCAGCCAATAGCAATTGTTTAGTTATCTTAACTTGCTATATTCAGATTACACTAAGAAATACGTATGCAAGACATGTAAGCAAAATAACACAATTTAAACCATATGTAAACGTGTAAGTTGTGAACAAACCACCTAATTAAGTATGTCAAACATTATTTCAAAGTAATAAATCTCAATTTAGTGGCCCATCATATTAAATGTTAGACATCAGAATCTTGCCTATATACTTAAATCTTGATTTGCCATGCTCACATTTGAAATTACAGTGTTGCATGTGTTTACATGCAAAAAAGTCGGCATAAATGATGAGCTAGAATAGAAAGTGATTCACCTATTGCCATAGAGTTGCTATTTTTGACTTTCCAAATATAGTCATCGCATTTACTCCAAATAGACCCTCTATTAGCCTCTCTTTTACTTCTTCCTTCTCCTTCTCTAGTGTTTTCCCCACCCACCTGAGACTGCCAGTCACCGCACCCTCCCTCCATCGCCATCGAGCCGCATCGCTGCCTCTGCCATCGGCTGCGTGCCTTCCTCCACACCCTCCATCTCTCCTTCCTTGCCACTGCGCCGCCTCCTCTATCGCAAGCTCTCCCTTTTCACCAGCGCACGGATCCAGATGGGGACCCGCGGATCCAAGTGATGATGGAACAAGTGGTAGGTAACGATGGTTGGGGAGCAAAGGCGGTGTCAAGATCTTGGCAGAGGAGTGCAGAGAGGTTGACGCTCTGTGTTGACGTTGATCTTCTCCTTGCTGGCCTTAGCAAGATCGGGTTGACGACAGCAAAGCTAGTGCTCACCAAGGACCTGACACTCGTTGATGGCCTTGCCGAGATCATGCCGATGGCGGCAGAGGATTGGAAAGAGAGACGTTAGCTCACCGAAGGAGCCGGGTGATGCAGCTCGCGCTGAGGGAAGGAGCCAGCGGTGGCCAAGTATGAGGATGGTGAGGATGGCAGGAGGTCGTGATCGAGAGGAGAGTTTGAGGCAATGGAGCCTTTGCTACACGTGAAAGAGGGAAAACATGGTGGTACCCATCTTCACCAGCTGAGAAGGCTAGCAAGATTTGGCCACCCAGGGTGTTGTATTGACAAGCCGAATGGCTTGGCCAACCGAATAGTATGTTTGTTGGATGATGTTTTGTCCTAGTTATTTGCCAAATTTAGGCTTTGAGAGCCAAATAGTCATTCTCTTAAAGATGCTCACCAGGATTGCCTTATGACCCTCGCTACTTCCCAAATCCCACACCCACCAAGGGATGCGCAACGCGGTAAATGAATCACAGAAGCCTAAATCTTTATATTAATGTTCATTAATCACAATAAATTGTGTCATTCTGAATATGTTTCCAACATTAGTGCGGAGGACACCCGAACTTTACATTATATTGAAGTGAACATGGGGAATGAAGATGGGACTTTAGCTTGCCAGTCGACTTCAGCCTGACATATGCCTGTCAAACCACACGAAGGCGACTTGACAAAATAGCTGAAGCTCTACCGTATCTGAAATGTTCTAAACCCATACTCATGTGAAGTTAGTTCTCAGGATGTGCACTAGCTTCACACTTTCATGTTAAGCAATGATACACAGATGAAAATAATAATCGAGACATATAGAATTCATATTACAACTACCATAGATATAGATAGGCTAACCGACCAAATAATTAGAGTTCCCTGAAGCTTGGCTACCCAAACCATGAGCAAACCGACTAGGGGTAGACCCCTAAAAGAATCAAGTCCTAAACAATTACAAAGTAGGAGTCAATGCATTAATCGTATTAATTAGTATTTCTTACTGTCATAGATAAAATCCACGAACGCACGGATATACTGAATTAGCACTTTATCCGGAAGTATTCCAAGATATCGATTTTCCACATGGGATGTGTGTGCTTAACTCTTCTCCAGGTTCATCCAAGGACACGAGGCAAAAATGGGCAAATGATGGAAAGGACTTCCTTGTGAGAAATAGTGTCTACAGAAAGCTTGATTTAATCCTATCGTAATACTTGAGACACTGGCTCGCTCGCTGCTACCAGAACGCTATCTACCCCATACCTGGACAGGGAGGACTTTGCTAATCTCAAGGGCTATCACTACCTCTACACCAACCTCTAACAAACTGTGAGATACGCAACAAATACAGGTACTCAATAGTATAGGCATCACGCCTACACTATTTAATACTACTCTAATGCCAATCAAGCATTAAGGTAAACACTATTTCTAGTGAACAGTATTCCAGCGCGCTAATAGGAACTAATTAAGTGATAATCCTCACAAAGTAAATCTCAATTACTCGATAAAGATATTATCAATTAAAGCAGAGTAATTGACAGGGTACAAAAGTGAAGAGGAAAGTACCAACAACTCCAAAATTCCTCCGACTCTTTCTCCCTTACTCTCTCCCTATTCTAATGTATATAAAAGATACAATAAAGCCTTTTGTAATTCAGCTCATGCTTGGTGTTTTGTGAATGAGGGAAGAGAGGGGCATTTATAGGTGAAGGTGCCTTGGGTGGATAGAGTTTCTCCAAAGTATCCAATGAGCATCTCCATCCTCATTGTGCCATCTGTCCTCCTGATGATGGTTGGAGCACCGAAAATGGTCACAACCGTCATTGGGAGGTCGGTAGTAACTGCTTATGAAAAATTGGAGTGAACAGGTCAGTTTCGGGTTCGGCCGAACTAAGGTTTCGACCGAACCCTTGCTGGCCCATTTGGTTCCGAATTTTCTCCAAGATCATGGTAGGAGGGCCTTTAATCCAGTGGCATGGTGATTGGGCCCAATTATAGGTATTTCGTTGGGTTTCTGGGCCCAACACTCCATGGACTTGGATATGAATGTAATTCTTCCTCTTCCTTATATATATTTCTTCTCAACTTTAGTAGTTTGTCACCTGCATCCAAATATACACCAACACTCATGAAAATTATTAGAAATAAACCTTACCACTATGTTTCATGTTTTATACTTTTAGATTTATACAGGTATTGATGGCGCGAATTTGGTATTTAATAGCCGTCAACAACTAGCAAACATAAATCAATCCTAACATACAACATGCAAAGGCTTATCATCAAAGGAAAGCTATTTGTAGTTTATTTTAACATAAAATCAAGTTTTGTTTCACAATCATTTGCAAAAGGAGTTTGTAAAGCATTTTTTTAAGTATGAGCGCAAGTGTACCATAATATAAATTATAGCAATATCACAATATAGCCATTGTTGCCCTCATCGCAACAAAGCGCAATTTCATCATCACAATCAACATAAATCACCATTTTCATAAACACATTTAAAACACAAGTCTATACTCATGATACTTCACTATGTCGCTCATGACCGTGAGCACGGCTAATCGATTAGTTTTATACTCTAGTCGATTACCCACATTATATGAATCCTCTAGTTTATCTTATGCTGGCCAAAGTACTACCACCCTCTACACGTTGAATGCGGTCTAGAGGTCTTAACAAGGCTGTTACATTGCCTAGCACCTAACTTTGCATGAGCACGATGTGTGGTACTCCACACTAAGCCTAGAAACTTAATGTTGTCAGCACGGTTGGCCGACCAACCCTAATGCCGTGGCGACTTTGCTGTTCGGATGGGCCTAGAGCTGACGCAATGATTTGACCTTCAAATCTAGATGGTTGAGCTCACGTCGGTGACATTTTCCTTCCTTGAAAATCGGTTTGCCCTTAGAGCCTGTAAAGATTGACGACATTATAGGATCTTAAAAAATTAACTATTAAACTAATACTACTAGTTAGCTACAGAACAAATATGTATTTCTTTTAATGAAGGCAAATATGTATTTTATTTAAAAATACATACTGATATCAAATCCACAAAACATGCCACCATAGTCCACGACCAAATGTAAGATTTGGCATCCCATGGATACACAACAGCAAACAGTAACAAAATTAACATTTTAATTTCTAAAATTTGTTGCTACTATATGAATCTAGAAAATAAAAAATTCCAACCAAACCCCTTGCCCTACTTGTCAAGCACCCTACCCAGCACCAGCGGTTGCGGACTGTCTATCTAGAGAGATTTGATAATTTGATATTTCAGAAAGTGGTTTTCGATTATTTTACAAACTAGGATTTGATTATTTGATATACTGGCCTACTCAATTAAAGTAAATTGACAACGAAAAAAGTGTTAAATTTCAAATTCCTTGTCTGTCGGTGATGCCGTCCCCTCCATTCATCTTCAAGTCCCTGTGGCTTCAACCACCACCGTCAGCTGCTCATCCCTGGCCGCTTCTAATACGCACCTGTCCATTGGTTAAACAGTCTTTTGTTTCCACCACCATGTCCATTGGTTCTACTAGTTTTGCTATTTATCAATCACCTGATTTATTCTTGTATGTCAATTGACTAGAGTTGCACACCACATACACCAAATCTGAACAATCTGAGAAGGCACAACTCTAGAGTAAATTTATCGGATCACTAGATACATTTTTGTGTTTATCTAGATAATGGTCTTCTTTGTTTTCGTACTAGCATGATCCACTGAATTACTCCCTCCGTTTTTAATATATGATGCCGTTAATTTTTTTTAGATACGTTTGATTATTTGCCTTAGTAAAAACTTTATGTAATTATCATTTATATTATTGTAATTATCATTTATGTTATTGTCACTTGATTTATCGTTAAATGTTATTTTAGTATGACATATTTTTTATTATATTTGTATAAAAGATTTGAATAAGACGAATATTCGAATGTTTGTCGGTGTCATATATTAAAAAAACAGAAATAGTATTATCGGTAGATTCGATCCTTCCAAACTGAAGTGGTCAT